ATCTGTAGCTTTATGCAGTATATTTTGTACTTCTTCGTGCACAGGAACATTGAGGAACTGACATTTTGAAAAACATTAAGCAAGTTTTTAATAGTGTTAGCAAGAGGCAACAGAACCAAATAAATTTCTAATTGGCAAGAAATGTTTTCTACTATTCTGCAGAGCTGGTCTTCCTAACACTCATGGGATTATGAAATTCTCGAAAAACTTCAAGTCAGGAAGCATTTCAAAAGAAAGAGGAACTTTAAAAAAAATGTATCCTTGGGGAAAGATTCTTCCCTCTTCCTTGTCCCAAAAGGACTTATAATTCATTTCAGCTGCTTCATAGTTTCATGGCATTATTTATGTTTTTTAGGTAGCAATGGAAAATTGGGCCTTCATGGGAAAAATAGGGGCCAATATCATTTTCTCTTGGTGAGGCCTACTTAACTCACTCCTAGTGTTCAAGGTATACCAGGCTTTATTAGCTGCCAATAATTCATGGAAGTTCTGAAACATCTAGTTATTTATTTTTCTTAAAAAATAACCTGATCTCAGCTGGTAGATCAATTCCAATGATTTCAAGAGATCTGCAACAGAACAGAATTGAGCTAGGCTTAGAAAATAATTTTTCTGATTTTCCAGTTATTCTTTCCTTATGAAATTTCCAGCTATTCATCTCTTACGAAATTGATATAGAATATATATTTGAATTCACCACATATACACCAAATAAAGATTATGAAATTCCTACTGTATACAAGACATTGAATATAAAAGGGTAAAATAGTCTCCCACCCTAAAGGAGCCTATGATTTAGTTGGAGAGGCAATGACCAAGGCATATCTCTTTGTAAAAGGACATGAAAATACACTTTCTGATGTGATTAGAACTTAGTTTCTATTTCAATAGATTTTTTTTTAAAATTTTTGTCTTTTCTTTTTTTGTAACTGGGACTGAACCCAGGGCTTCATGAATGCCAGGCAAGTGCTTTACCACTGAGCTACATCCCAGTTCTCAGTGGATCTTGATTGTCGTTGAGGTGTATCTGGATAAACTATAGTATGGGATTCTCTTATTTGGGGTGAGACATGGCATGATAGTGCCTGACTATGTGGGTACGTATGTGTGTGTGTGCGCAAACGCATGTGTTTTAAGATGGGATTGATTTTTCATAGAAAGAATTTGAAAAGTAAACTGAAAAAAGACCAAAGGAACTAAATTGAGACTAGTCAATTTCCCATTTGCATATTAGCAACCATGTTCCCCAAACTGATGAGTCTCATGAAGGAGGCAGAACACCAGCTGCGTGCCTGACAAAGAGGAGGTATTAAATTGATATTCACTGAATCAAGTTAAAAATATATCAGAAGTGAATCTTGAATTCAGAGAATTTATAGCTCAGGAGAGGAGCTGCACTATATATTTAGTCAAATAATTATAATACAAGGAAGCAAATTAATTCCATGGAGAGAGTACAGATCAAGAGCTTAAAGGGCAGAGCACAGACAGGTTCCTTTTAGCTGGAACTAGACTGTGCTTGGAAATAAATTGGCACCTGAACTGGATACAGCAGGATAGGCGGGTACAGTATATATTTATGGTGACTTTGTACCCAGAGAAAGAACATGGGCCAAGGTTCAAAGGTAGAATAATGTGGGACCTGAATGAGGAAATTCAGCTGGGCCATTAAGAGAAAACGTAGAAAAGTGGATTGCACAATTAGAACACTGGCCTGGGCATTGGGTTCAGCTTCTTATCTGGTGGCCAGTTATAATCTGCTTCTCAGGAATGTCTTTCTAGGCCATTATTTGCACAATTTCAGAACCAGACAGCTATGGAGTTTTGGTTCAGCCAATTCCTGGGACCTAGAGATTGTAATCAATGCCAGAATCTGCCTTGTTGCCACTGTCAACTCACTTGACTCTTTAGTATCTACTAGAGTTAGGAACGTTTTAAATCTTTTTAAAAAAAAAACATATATTTATTTTTTAGGTGTAGATGGACACAACAAAATGCCTTTATTTTTATGTGGTGCCGAGGATCGAACCTGGGTCCCGCCCGTGCTAGTCGAGCGCTCTATCGCTGAGCCACAATCCCAGCCCCAACGTTTTAAATCTTAAGACATATTTTAATCTTATTCTCAGACATTAACCTTTTCAGATCTTTAAAATAGTTTTTTATTTTGCCCTTGATACCTAGAAATATTTTCAGAGAATCAATCCTTAAATCACCTGGGATTTCATTGTTTTAAAAACTATCTCCAGAATGTGGCATATATACACAATGAAATATTACTCAGCCATAAAGAAAAATGAAATTATGGTATTTACCCATAAATTCATGGAACTGGAGACTACCATGCTAAGTGAAATAAGTCAATCCCAAAAAACCAAAGGCCAAATATTCTCTGATATGTGGAATGCTAACACACAGTAAGGGAATGGGGCGGGGGGGGATAGAAGTTCATTGGATTAGACAAAGCGGAATGAAGGGAAGGGAGCTGGATGGGAATAGAAAAGACAGTAGAATGAATTAGACATAATTTTCCTATGTTCATATACAAATATACCCGCAGTAAAGCTCCACATCATTTTCAACCACAAGAATGGAATCTTAATTAGAATAAGGATACTCCATGTATGTATAGTATGTCAAAATACACTCTAGTGTCATGTATATCTAAAAGAAAAAAACCTATTTTCTGAATTCATCTAATTTCTCGATACATTTCCAGGATTTGGGAGATCAATGTTCAGAAATGATTATAATTATCCTACTAGAATTCCCAGCAATTGTGCATGAAGACAGGTCTGTCTCTACAACTAATCCCCTTGGTGTGGCCATCAATGGTACAGTTACCTCTCCCTGAGGCCCCTGTTAGCATCATTACATCTGGGTTTTATTGCTATTCTCATTTTCCTTTTGTTAAAATAAGAATGTATATATTTAGATTTATTTACTGAACTAATTAAATAACTGCTTCCTGGGGATATTTCTATATCCATAGACAACAAGAGAAAGCATATTGAATTAGGGATCTAAGACTCAAATTTTAAAGAAATGGAAGGAAGGAAAGAAGAAAATAATTAAAGATATTTTCCTTAGCAGGTCAGATGGAAATGTTACCATTTAGCAATCCTGAAGAGTTGGCAAGTTCCCACTCTATAGCATACATTCTCAACTCCATATCTAACACCTCTGAAGCAATTAGAATGGTTCAGCTTATTCTCGTGAAATTGTGGCCCCAGGAAAATCTCCACTGTGATTATTTACTATCAAGGAAACTTCATTGTTGATCCTGCCTTTCTGTGCTCCACACATCCTTCGTTTATTAGTCAAATAATGCCTGCCTTCATTTTTCAACAAGAATCATTAAATAAACGCTATATGACAGAAACTGTCACACTAGGCCCTGGGACTGCCCCAACAGTTCAAGCTGGCCATCCATCCTCCATTGAGTGAAGCCTCACAGGGTCTCAGGAACCTGAAACCTCTTCTAGATAAGATTAAGGGGAAATAATTAGGAAATGATTTTTTGTTTTGTTTTTGTTTTTTGGTACTGGGGATTGAACCCAGGGGTGCTTGAACACTGAGCCACATCCCCAGCCCTGTTGATTTTTTAAACTTTTGAGACATGATCTTGTTAAGTTGCTTAGGGCTGTGCTAAATTGCTGAGGCTGGCCTTGAACTTGCAATCCTCTTGCTCAGCCTCTTGAGTCACTGGGATTATAGTGGTGCACCACCATGCCCAGCCAAGAAATAAGTTTTTGATTAATAAAGAAATTTTAAAAATTATTGTCTTTTTTTCATTCATAACAATGTTCAAAAATGCCTCAATATTTGCCTAGCATTTTTAATAGTTTATAAAGGATTTTTAAAAATTAGATAAAAATCCATTTTTAGGGTTTGGTTAGTTTAAGTCAGTCTTCCCCTCTATGAACTCCTGAAGTGTAGAAACTGGGTTTATAAATGCTTATATTCTCTAGAATGTGACTCAGGGTCAGATACAGAATTGGCTTTCAGCAAGCGATTTTGAATCACCTTATCCAGGCATATATATGTCAGTTATTCTGCATACTGGTTTGTAATCAGGGGTTTTTCAGTTCTTTTTTCCATGTGCCTGGTAGTTTTCTCATTAGCCAAGGCACTGGGCTGAGTCTCATCTCACAGAGGAAAAGCATCAGGTTGGTCTCAGAGCATTAACAGGGATGATGCTATGCTATCTAGCCATTGAAACCATAATCAAGGAGGTTTTGTGTCATCCTTTACAAAATGAGAGGTTTAATAAAGATACAAAGTTGCTAGGTAGAGCAAATTGGAGAATGAAAAAAAAAATTTGTAGCAGATGGTTCTTTCCTGACAATGATTAAGGCTTCAGAAATATCAAGACAGATATATTTTTTTTCACTATGGACTGAATCCAGGGCCCTGTGCATGCCAGGCAAGTGCTCCATCACTGAGCTACATTCCCAGCCTTCAAGATAGATTTAAACAAAGACAGTATAATCTGAAGCAGGTAGTTTATTAGCATGCCTTCTTCAACTCTCCCCTGTCATAGGGGACTTGTGAGTTTATTTCCATTTGCATTATGTAGGAACTGCTGGTTTAAAATACTAAGCCACTCCTGGGCAAAATATAAGGAAAAGTCACCTAATCAATCTGAATCTCAGTTTTCCAATTCCAATTGAAATATTTTGCAATTGACCTGCTTATCTTTTCCTATGGATATTATAGAATAGAACTGATAGAGATAAAACACTTGGGGAAAATAAAGGAAATAGTCATGTGTATCAATTTTATTGAAGTAGTTTGTTTTTTAAGCTTGCCTCTTCACTGCATTTTAAAAACACTTTTAAAAAAGTTTTTCCTTTCTGGATGGGGATATAGCTCAGTTGGTATGCTTGCCTCATGCACACAAAGCCCTGGGTTCAATCTTCAGCACAACCACCACCAAAAAAAAAAAAATAATAAAAAATAAATAAATAAATAAATAAATAAATTCTTTTTTCTTTTTCTTTCTTGACCACAACTCAGCTGAGTAGAAGATAGTCAATAAGAAAAGACAGTCATGAAAAAATTAGCTCCAGATCTAAGAGAAGTCTGGTAAGTTTATGCAGTAAGTCTAAGAAAAACCTAACCACTAATGCCCTGTGCCCTATCCCCTGCTCTGTTTGATTGTGATGGACAGCTGGGCGGATGGAGTAACCTGAAGTGTTTGCCGTGGTAAAATTATCATGTTGGCTTTCCCTACCAACTTGAGAGGCAGAAGAAGAGGTACAGATGAGCCGGGAGAGTGAGTTACTCAGTGAAAGTGAGAATCTTGATGGGGGCAGGTAATTGCTGAAACCTGCAGTGTCTGTTCTCAGATGTGTACCCATGACCTCCCACTAAGTACCAAACACTTTTCTAAGCATTGAGGCTACACATTACTGAATGAAAAATGCATGTTTACTGCTTTCAGGGAGCTTATATTCTAGTGAGTGAAGAAATGAAATAGCAAAGTCATAAGATAAATAATGATAAATTCAAATCATGATATAGGCTATGAAAAAAATCAAAATAGTCAAATAGAAAGTAATAGGGAGATGAGAACTTATTCTTGGGAATTTTGCTCTTTGACTTCTATCTAGGTCAATGTCTGTCATTAACTTTGGACAAATATTAGCCATTATCTCTATAAATGTTTCTTCTGAACATCTTGTCCTATCTTTCTTGTATATTGGAACATTTGGGGGTGTCTTGCACTTCTAATTCAGAGATTTTCTTCATTTTTTTTTCTCTTTGTGATCCAGTTTGCCTTATTTCTATTGATCTGTCTTCAAATTCATCAAATCTTTCTTCTTCTGCAGTAAACACATTGACTGAATTCCTTATTTCTGATATTGTAGTTTTCAGTTGTATAATTTCCACTTGATCCTTTTACATTCCTTCCATTTCGATGCAAAATTTCTCCATCTGGCACAAAGTAATTTCCTAAAATGTGTTTGCTGTTTTGTTAACAAGGATTTTTTTTTTTTAAATACAGGGAATGAAAATCACATTTGAAAAGTTCAGTTTATCACAAATGAACTATCTACCACTCATGGTACTTTAGGTGATAGACACCTTCATTTGAAAGCTTTGCAAATCTAATCTGACGTTGGAGACAGCTAGTATTACAAAACACTCTCATATTATTGGTACTCATATCCTCCAGGTCCCTCTGGAAGCTCATAGAAGGAGTAGACCCATGGGCTTATGAGCACTAGGGCACTTTGCTCAATAGTGCATAACTATAGCAACTATAATAAATTTCTCTCCTGGTGCATGACTTGAATAAAACCAGATAGCTTTTGGGTTCAGTTTTATCCCTGGGGAGTGGGGAAAGGAATATAAATCCTTCCACTGGCAAGGCATGGGATATGCCCATTGGAACAACTACACATGATTGAAATTCCTTCTCTTTAGAGACTAGCTTTGGCAAGACTCTCCATGCAGAGGTGAAAGAGATATAATAGTTTTCACCTGGAGAAGAAAGCCCCAGAAGACTATCCTGCAAAGAATAATCACTAGAGCGCTAGGAATCCCAGAATTTAACAGTTAAAATTTAAAAGAAGAGTAAAAGTAAAAAGGCAAAGTCTCAAGAGATCCATGAAATGTTTCTGGAGCAAACCAAACAAAATAACAAGGCAAGACTGTGTAGTTATAGAACAAGAAAAACATGGATGCACATTTTCCAGAAAACACCAAACTCTCACCTAAGTTCAAAGAGACGGATTCCTCTGATAGGTAAGAGGATTATTCATACAGCCACAATCATCTGTATATTTTATCAGTGCTTATTATTACCGTGGCCAAACACAATGCTACCTGCCTCCCTGAATGTGTTTCAAGTATAGGTAAGGTAAAAAACAGATTTTTTTTTTACAGTGAGAGATGGTGACATGTATTACAAGTCACAGAGCACTTGCACATGCACAGACTCAAAGGGGCATGGTGTTTTAGTCTCTCAGCAGAAAGAAACTTGGGCTTTTTTGTACTCATCTGTAGTTTCTAGACGTTACACGGAGAGACAGAAATCTGAACTTGACCGGTGGTGAGGGTTGCAGAAGGCTTAATTAGATCATTGCACAGTCTGGGATATGCTGACCTTTTCTGTCCCTGCTAAGCCTGGGGCCTCTGTTTCTGAGCTCCTCCCTTTCTGCACACTGTAATAGGAGCTTTCATCTCAAAGTGCTTTACAAACTTCATTTCTTATTGCCCTTGAGGAGTGCCCTTTATTATTTTGCTGACTGGAGTGAACTGACCTGCTTAAGGTCCAGTGGGAATTCGTGCCCTAACTGGAATTACAACTTTGGTACCTTTGGACCATGTCCCAGGTGCTGGCTGCTAAGGAAAAGGCAGCTGTGGTTCCATTTCTCTCCCTGCTCTGACTCTGCAGTGTAAACTGGCTCTGAGGTTTCATTTTTTTTTTTCAGTTTGAGTTTTGTTTTTGTTCTCTGTGAACTAGATAACTACATCTATGACATTGTTGATGTTGTCAAAAATATTTGTGTTATTCGTGATGATGTCAAAGATTCACTTAAAGTTGCAGAACTAGTCTATGCTGGGATCTATACATCCAACGACCGACAAAAGTTAGACAGCTGGATAAACTCTGTGCCTGTGTATATATTCATGAGAAATTCTCAGGTGCATGAGGACCAGGCACAGAAGCATGAAAGGGTGTGTGTTCGTGTGTTTGTTTGTTGGATTTAATGCAAAACTTCCAGGTCACTCATTTATTTGTTCAAAAAGCAACTAATGAGAACTTGGGTTTACCAAGTCTTCGTAAAGCCATCAGTTAACATGTGGGAGCTCCACTCAAATCTTCTCAGGCCTTCCTACAGCCATACCTGCTGTTGACCTGCAACTGCCAGAATTTGGGCCTTTTTTCCTGAAGGCTTCCTTTGATGGTTGGGCCATTCCACCCATGGCAACTTGGAAGTGCTGAAAAACAGGCACCTGCCCTCTCCACCAGCCTGGTGGATGACTACTCCAGTTTTCTCATCCCTCAGGTGTAGCTGCTCTATATCAGCTCCCAGAGCCCCCAGTGGGGTCTGCTCTGCCTGTACACAATGGGCACTTGCTGGATACCATACCTCTTATTGGCTGCCTTGCTTTCACATCTCATTTCCTCATGCCTTTGTTTTCATTTCCTGGGATCAGCTCCTAAATAACTCTCTGTACCTGGTTGTTGGCTCTAGGGCTGCTTCAGAAGGAGCATGCACCAAGAACAACACTCTTAGGGAGTTATGGCTTCTGCATTCTAGTAAATTATCTGTAAAAAGGAGTTTTAGAAGAACCCTAAACAAATTGAATGAAGAGGGTGTTCTTGGTCTTTAGAAGATGTCAGGTGAATAGTCCTTTTTCCTAGAAGGAGAGGAAAACAGGAAGCACTTCCATACATACAGCCAAGTAATCAGCCCATTAGATGCTATAAGGAATTTGTGGAATTTGGTCATTTTTGACTTGTAAAATTGTCAATTCCATGTTTCCATCCATACATAGAAGTTTTCATTTGTTTTTTTTTTTTAACTTTCCTTTAATAAGGTACCAAATTTTTGTTAACTGAGGGAATGGACCACACATGCAGAGGTGGCTAGCCACCATGTCCAGCAGCCCAACCAGCAGGGTATAGGAAGAAGTTTAGGCCCTCTCTGTTTAAGGACAAGTTTCATAGAAGAGCAAACCATTTCTCCTTGAACCCCCCAACCTCTGAGCAGAACTTAGTCCAGTGCCACACTTAGCTGTGCGGGGCTCTTAAAATGTCATCTTTATTCCAGATAGCCAGTGTCCAGCTATAATAAAGGGCACTTTGGAATAAATGACACCAAAAGATAGCTAGCAACCACTGCTTGCCAAATTAAATTTTTTTTCACATTTTTACTGATAGGGAAGCAAATAACTAGAGAAGAAAAGAGGGTATCAATAACCCTGGCATCAAATATTTATTTTGCATGCAGTTCTTAGAATTAAAGGGAACAGTTAAGATGCCTCACTGGTTTTGTTCTATTGAGCATACTTAGGTAGGACCTCAGATCCAGAGGGCTGATGGAGTCACCAGTTGCATTTTGTGATATGTTACCATCATCACTCAGGCCACAGCTGCTCTTGTTCCATCAAATGTGTTTCAGGGAGTTCTTGACAATCATCCCACTCCCTTCCCCATGGCAGCCTATACTAAGTTTATTTGATATCTATCATTGAAGTTATATCATCTGCTACTTTTTGCATGTATTTTTACTTTCCATAAATTATATTGTGTTAAGCAAAACATTGTTCTTTTTCTTATTTTTTCGCCCATCAGTATGTTTTTCAAGTTTTATTTGTGTATGCACCTACTTTTTTTTTGCTTCTAACAACATATTGCATTTTATAATATTTCACCATATTTTGCTTCCTAATTTCCATGGTTATGAATTCCTCATTCTCCTAATTTGTGCCCAATTCCTCATTGCCAAAACCAAAAACAAACAAACAAACAAAATCTCCATAATGTGTGATACACATGCATACTTGTACTCTTTCAGACCTTTTGAGAATTTCTCAGGAATGCTATTACCATACAAAGTCAAGTACTTGCAGATTAGTGGACTCTGTTACCTTGTATTCTAGAATGCCTGCGCTGCGTTATATTCCCACTAGCAGGACACAACAGTTTGTTTTTCCACTTATTACCCCTGCCCCATGGCATTGGTGACTTCCAAATTTTGTGACTATGAATTTCATGGGGCTGGGCATGGTGGCGCACACTGGAGACAGAAGCATCACAAGTTCAAAGCCAGCCTCAGCAATTGGTGAGGCATTAAGCAACTCAGTGAGACCCTGTCTCTAAATAAAATACAAAATAGGGCTGAAGATGTGGCTTAGTGGTGGAATGCCCCTGAATTCAATCCCCAGTACCCCCCAAAATAATAAGAATTTCATGGGAATAGAGTGATATGCTATTGTTTTTTTGCTTTGTATTTCTCTGATTTCTGTTAATTTTCACATGTCGTTACATACATGCTTACCATCTGGATTTTCTCTTCTGTGACTTGCCTTTTTATATCTTGCCTGTTTGTGCCTTAAAATTTTTGTGA